AATTCTGCGATGATTTAGTGCATATAGGTTTATACATTATAGTACTAATTTAAATTTCCACTTGATTTATAAAGGTTTTTTTTTATTTGTGGGGAGTTCTGGCAAAATAGATCAATTCCTGTAGTCTTTTCAAGACGGAACCATCACCATTCGATTCTCCAGACATTTTTACATAGCTAATCCATAAAACCACATGATATATAAGTTTGTTCAAGTTTGAGGGGAATATAGGGTAAAATGGGGTTTTACAGTGGTCGCCACTTGGCGAACTTCGCAGCATTCGATTCCTTCCATAATTGTACAATATTTAAGTGCATAAAAATCAATATTTTGTCCGTCAAATTCTACTTTCCGAGTGTGTTTAATCTTGTTTTTATATGCCAAGGAAAAATTGGGTAAAATGGACCACTTGTTGACGTCTGATCAAAGTAAAATTTGCTCCATTCACCTCCTCAGCTCTTTTTACAAGGATAAAGTTCACGTTGGCTCAATCTAAGCGAAACCAAGTTCAGTTTCTGGATGATAATTATATTGTTCTTCCAAAATTAGGAGTAAATCGGGCAAAACAGACCACTTCCCTAAGTTAACCTTAAGCGGTATCATCATCAATCGATTTTCCGATTTTTTTTTACATAAGATAGGTTATTTTTGGGACTCCTACCGTGCGCCGTCTAATTAAGTGGGATTTTGGGTTGATTTTTCCCCCACTGTGCGTTGGAATGGATTACAGAGTGATCCATATCAGGATAGAGGAAGCCGTTGCGAATTTTTTTCCAAGAAATCCCCGGGAAATTAAAGTCACCAAACACAACAACTTCGTCGGTTGCTTTAGCGGTATCCAGAACAGAGAAAACCGGTTGGCAATGGGTTTAGATGAGGTCACGCTACGGTCGGGAGGAAAGTACACCGCACAGAGAAACAAGGTACGATCGCCCAGTTTGATCGACATCCACACCTGCTCTAAGCATATCGAAGCATTGTAGTATCCTCGCTTTAAACCTAGAATTTACAGCTACTAAAACACCTCCACCTTTAGCAGCATTCCTATTGCAACGGAATACTTCGTAATCGTCGCCGAACACCTGACAAGAGAGCCTGCGTGAATCCAACCATATCTCCGTGAGAATAGTGATGTCGTAGCAAAGATCCAAGCTAGCCACGCGGAAATCGTCGACAGCACAGTTGATACCACCGACGTTTTTTGAGACGGATATCTCATGTTGGCAGTTGGTAGGATGGATGCATGGACATGATGTAGCTAGTGCGGATGCCGCAGAACCGGAAGCACAGCTAGAAGTTGAAGCGGCATCAGACAAAGAAGAGGCTGAATCGTCAATATACTTGCCCGTAATAGCTGGTTAAAAGACCACCGACCTACATCTACACTCAGGGCCGAGACAACAATGCTGAGCGCTGGCTGGAGTAAGCGCGACTGAGGGCATCCACGATGCGTCTCGGTGGTGATGGTGGATTGCGGGGCTACTAGTGTACCGAATGCGTGATAATGTTTGCACCATCATACAAATAAGGCCTTGGTTTTCTTTGCCTGCACATAACCTATAGTTCATACCGTAGTAGGCTATGTATGAAAGAAAATGATTTACTTAGTTTGACAGTTGTACCATGACGAGTGGCAGCGTGATTTGTCCCACGCGCAAATGTCGCAAAAAGACATTTCAATCGCCGTGGGAGTGTCCCGGTGGACCGTCAAAAGGGTTTTATACCGAGAAAAGAAAAGACAACTATCCGCGAAGATGGCCACAGGTCGTCCGAGGTCAGGTTATCGCTGCTATCAAAAGGAAAATTCGGGTGAATCCAGTGCGTGCAATAAGGAAAATGGTAAAGGAACACGGGATCAGTGACTTCACGGCACGCAAGATCGTAAAGGAAGATTGTGGGGTGAAGTCGAGGGCACGGAAAAAACTCACATGATTACCAACCGCATCCGGGAGCATCGAGTCGAATGATGCACGAAAATCTTGAAATTCCTCAGGCGAAAAAAATCCGGTTATCCTGTTCACCAACGAGAGCATGTTTACCGTAGATCCCGTATCAAATTCCAGAACCGACCGGTATATTAGTTCTCTTCCGGTAAAAGACGTGGCCGAAGAGCACAAGAACGTGTATCTGACCAAGCATCCTACTAGCGTTATGGTGTTTGGATTGGTGGCTTCCGATGGCAAAAAAATGGACCCAGTGTTCATTCCAGAAGACGACAAGGTCAACACGGAGGTCTACATCGGGATTTTAAGTAAGTATGTTCCTCCGTGGATCAAAGAACAGTACGGTCCGAAGCCAAATGTTGTATTTCAACAAGATGGGGCTCCGTGCCTCACCTCGAACCGCACTCAGAAGTGGTTGCTGGGTGAAGGATATGTGGCCGCCATCCAGCCCCGATCTTAATCCCCTGGATTACTCAATATGGTACGTCATGAAGGCCATGGCCTGATCTAAACGCCACCCGAGTACAGTAAGCCTCAGACAAACATTGACCAGTAACTGGAGATAAATGGATCCAGACTACATTATTAGAATCTGCCACGCATTCCGGAAGCGTGTGGAGGCCATAGTTTAAGACTCTGAGAAACATCCCCCTTTGAATAAATAAAAAAAAACTCGTAAACGAAATTTTTTAATTTTTTTTTTTGTAATTTTAACATTGCTCAATGGTGCAAACATTATCACGCATACGGTAATAGGATGCTTTGTTGATTGTTCAATAACTTTTGATTGCTTACTAGATTAGGGTAAAGGGTAAAGGAGAAAATACATCATAGAAGTCCCCTCATCCATTAATGTTAGAGCTAGGTAAAGGAGTATGCGTCTGAGTAGTGCTGTCGCATTAATGGACATTTGCTCAATTTCAACTTCTGTTAAATTTTCGCACTGCTGTACTCATGCGAAACTATATATCAACCTATCCTCTTTAGACAAATTATTACACTAAAGCTTCGAGTTGATATTAGTATGTATAGCATTTCCAACCAACTGTGAAATCTGGGCGCCTCGCTTGCAAAACCTGGTGCATATCTGCAAGGAACACGTTAAAGCTGCAAGTCTTGATCAACTGATGCCTGCGGTATATAATTTCTGCCTTGTGGCCTCGCAGCTGGATTTTAAATGCCGAGTTTTTTTTTATCGTCGATGTCATCAGAAATTGATATCAACTGAAATTGGGGATCGTAGGGGGAAAATGGGTTGGCCACACACTACAAAGGAGTCATAACAAAACCTAAAAAACAAACGCTGGATTGGAACCCGGAAAGACATCGAAGCAGAGGTTGGCGCAAAGGTTTACGTCCTTTGCCTCATCAGGTACATATTCTCATCAAGGAAGTCGATTTGCTTGACAGGATTTTTTTCCTTCATTGAAAACATTTCATTCGAGATTTCTCCCACTGTTTCCAAAGCTGTTCACCCTCGATTAAATATCTGTACATCAGCTTTCATCTGATTGATTGGACCCATCTAATAGCAAGTCCAATGATTGAGTCATTACACCATAAAATCACCAATTAACATTATCATCCCCCGGCACAAACCCATCTTCCAATAACATCGATCCAGAAACCACTCCAACAAGCTTGCTGATTGGCAGGATCTTTTTACTTCTTATCCCGAGAGCTTCATACAAGTTGCAGGATTTTATCTTTTATGTTTCAACGATGCTCCTACGTAACGGTAACACGTACAATCATCATCCCCTTTCGCCCCCCCCTGGCCATGCCTCCGATTGGCTATGTTTGACACGGCAAATTTTCCCCACCTCCAGTTCCGGAACCTCATTGATTCCAAGACTCTGCTCATGGTCGGTATCGGTTTCCTTACTCATTGAACAACGTCGTCTTTGCCATCGATCCGACATGTCCGGCGTGTCATGACTTAACACCAACCTACCAACCGACCAGCCAACCGGAACGGACGGTAATCTGTCGAACAAGAGTGGTGGAAAATTAAGTGCATTTTTTTTTCTGGCACCACGTTTGTTATCCTGTCGGCTGCTGTGCTGAATCGTTCTCTTCCCCGCAGGGAATATGGCTAGCTAGATGAGGAAGTCGATGTTCAGCATCAGTTTCTTGTAATAATAGTTTTTTTTTTCCTTTTGATTTGCTTCTGAATATCTTCTGGAGTGGCTGAGTTGGCTCGAGCGGTTTGTTTCAGTGCTCTTTTCTTTAGGGATCAAGTAAGCCAAATTGGGTCTCTCGGTGATACATTTTATGTTGGTCATACACATGATATGAGCAACTTCCACCATTCGTCATTCAACAGGTTGTAAAACTTGAGACGTGTAATTTTTTTTAATGTTTTGCTGCCAAAGTCACGAAAGATCACATTTCAAAAGAAAACTTAAAGATAAACAACAACCGGAAAAGGTTCGCCAAAGTATGAAACATATACGCCGCAGACTGCACAAAGTCAAACATTTCCATCAGAATAATTAAACAATGCACACGATCCATGACCCAACGCTGCCGCCAGAATTGCCGTGTGACATCAAAGTGACGTATACGCCACTATGACCAATTTTGACTATAATTTTGACCTGTATTCAGCATAGGGTCACCAAGTGACGGTCGTACAACAAAATTTCAAAATAGTTAGAGGATGTCAATTAGGGTTATAATTATCGATTGAAATCAAACTGCGGTGAAAATTTACCATTTGATGATGCCTAAACAGAAAAAAAAATACTACCGATCAAGTTTGATTTTGGCGCTTACGACACATTGCTGCCACCCGGCAGCAGAAGGTGTAACGATGCAAGTTTACGGTGGCGTTGACCGAGTGCTGACTTGGACATAAAACAGCAAGTCAATACTCGGCACCGGGTGTTATTGAAGTATTAAGTTTCAGCCAAAATTTGACTGCTCCGTATCGTTTCACGGCCTCTCAGACGCCGACTGCGCTGATATAAATGATCCATCTAAGAGGGGGCAAATGTTCAGTATACATCGAAAAAGTGATTCGTCCAACAGCAGTCTAAGCCCAAGTTAGCCAATATGAAGTGCGTAGTGTTCTCGTTGGTGGCCATCTTTGTTGCACTGAGCGCAGCCGACTATCACCAGCATCACCACCACGGTGGACATCATGAAACGATCCATCCCGGCCCGGCGGAAGTGCTGACGTATCCGGGAAAGGTTCCATTGCCGCCGTGCGGTACGGTGTACCTGTTGAGCTGTAACAAGAACTCGAAGGTAGTGCCATGCACCCCGGAGAAGGAGCATTACCATCATGCCCCTGCAAAGGAGCATTACCATCATGCCCCGGCTCCTGCATATCATCATGCCCCTGCAAAGGAGGATTACCATCATGCCCCGGCTCCTGCATATCATCATGCCCCGGCAAAGGAGCATTATCATCATGCCCCTGCCAAGTACTAGAGGAACGATGATACTCAACGATACGGCTAACGGACATGATTGGAAGTGCGATTTGGAAGACGCTAGTGGAATGATTCTTGTGACATTTCTGTATTTTGTGACGAAAATTGAGTGGCAATAAAAATTCAGGTTATGTTTGTATTTCTCAACAGAAACCATTGTTTGTCATAGCAAAATGATTCTTCGAAAATTTCATTCATGGTTGATATCAAATTGCATTTCAAATGCTGCACATTTATGTTTTGCTTGAAACCGTCATTTAATTGCATAGGTTGAGGTCGGCACAGTTGCTGCGGTTCACTCAAAGACTCTGTGGCGTGTTTCATCGTGGCTCGATAACATTCTGATATGATGAATCAACTGCTTACAGGGCAACACTGCTTCTTGCAGTTCGACATAGTAGCCTGGATTATTTTGCCCTAGTCTTCGTGGCAGACACACCAATATGGCCTGCTGTGCAGTTGATGGAGCATGTGACAACATAATTAATTAAAAACTGATTATCCTGACGTTGAGCAAAGTTGTAGTTGGGAAAATTTTACATAAGCATAGATAGCAAACTTCTCCGTATGCCACCATCAAGAATAACTAGGACGATGAGGACCAAAAAGAACATTTGGTATTTTTTTACGAATTTGAGCAAACGGGACTCAAATTATAGACAGTAACTCCCGGAGAAGCGATCAGTTTCTGACTTGAACAAAACTCATCTTTAAATCACATGATAATTCAAAACCAAGGTCAATCGAAATTATAGACATTAGCGACTTATAACGACTAGTAAAATTGTTTATTATTTTACGCTGGTACTAACCTCAAAATGTATGGAACTCGATCTGTCAACATGCGTTTGACAGCGATTTGATATGTATTTTCCTCGGATTTTCAATATCACACTCTCACACAGCGCACCAATGCAACCGGATGTGATAATCTCTATTAAGCGCCCAGCATCACATTTCCCAAGCCACACATGTCCCGAGTAGATTCCAGTTTCTGACTTGGAAAAAATAGTCATACGACACATTAAATCACATGGTAACTAAAGAATAAGGTCATAGGCGGTCATATTTGGATCTCAGGCCCACTTTGCTCACATCCGGACATGTTACAGGTACCTTTGGGGTAGCTAAAGCCTGAATGAATTAAAATATTTCATACTTACCTTACCAATCAGGCTGCTGTCCTCTGCTGTCTGAAAATCTTTCATATGCAACATTCAATCACACGAAAATTTAAAATCAACTTAATTTTAATCAACGATAATATTATGAACCAGTGTTTACATTGGCCAGGTCTCAGGAATGCCTCAGGAAGAGACCAGAATTGTTAATAATTTGAAACTTATCTTGTGATGCATCATACCGCCTGAAAGTTCAATTAACAATAGTATATTGCGCACAGTGGGCTAGGAATTAAATCTAGCAGGGAAAACATAATATCACCCTTGTATTGAATCCAATTGAGTTGAGGTCGTGAATGAAGTTTCTTGAATTAATTAGGACTTCAATTTGGTGAATAAAAGTAGGTCACGTTTTGGCCGCAACGATCATGATTCGTAAGATAGAAGATTGCTGTCTTGGGCAAAGTTGTAGAACGAAGAGCTTTATGAAAAGTTGCGAAGACATAAAAGGTATACATCTTCAAACACCTGAGATATACCATTTTTTTTATAAAATTTGCCTGGCATTCGCGTGTTTCGTATTATATTTTAAGAAATCGCCCAAAATAATACGTTTACCAATTTTTCTCGAACGGAACTGATCAATTGCATCTTTTATAGTTCAATTATATTATTTTTAGAGTTCTTAAAAATATATACAACATGCATTTTGAAAAAAAAACTTCCAGGGACAGCCCTAATGGTGACGTAGGACTATGTGACCTTATATAATAAATCTTATTTGTTAAATGCAGCAGGAGCTTGTGATTTGTGTAGGAATAGGAAATTGAGCGGGGTTCTCTCTGTATATTCTCTTTAGTATAACGCGCTTGACATATGCAGATGGTCCACAGCAACTCAATATCAGAGCGGCTTCTTTCGCCTTCTATAAATGCTCATGTGGGCTGCAGCACGCTGCTTGCAGGCAGCCTTATGTTGTGTACTGGAGAACACCACAACTCACCACGCGGTGATTGAATAAACACTGTTTGGTGAAACCAGATGGAACTCAGCTTTGAAATCTTAATTTAACAGATTCGTAGAAAAATTCCTATCGATTGGCGTATTACAAATTAAAATCTATCATCACTGGATCAAATTTGACCAATTTCATGCCGGGACTGACTCTGGTTTTTGAAATTGCACCCCAAATGTTGCCTTCAAGAACATTGTATGTTAGATTTAAACACATCTAGACAGAGCTGGAATGTTACGCCCTAATTCCAGCTCTATCTTGATATGGGAACTGACATCCGATTAATGACCTTGACATATGTCAAAAAAAAAAAATCTTTTATAAACTTATGGTGGTCTTGACTGGGTAATTGCCAAGATTTGGGAGGAGGAGATATTACCGGAGGAGTGGATGGAAGGTGTCGTATGCCCAATCTACAAAAAGGGCGACAAGTTGGATTGCTGCAACTACCAACTACCACACTGCTGAGCGTCGCCTACAAGGTACTCTCCCAAATTCTATGCCGCCGTCTGTCACCTTATGCAAGAGAGTTCGTGGGGCAATACCAGGCGGGATTCCAAATGTTCGCGATTCGGCAGGTTCTGCAGAAATGCCGCGAATACAACGTGCCCACACATCATTTTTTCCATCGATTTCAAATCCACATACGACACAATCGATCGAGATCAGCTATGGCAGATTATGCACGAGTACGGACTTCCGGATAAACTGACGCGATTGGTCAAGGCGACAATGGATCGAGTGATGTGCGTTGTTCGAGTATCGGGGACACTCTCGAGTCCCTTTGAATCTCGAAGGGGGTTACGGCAGGGTGATGGACTTTCGTGTCTGCTGTTCAACATCGCGTTAGAAGGTGTGATCAGAAGAGCTGGGATAGACACGAGTGGCACGATATTCAGGAAGTCCATCCAGCTCCTTGGTTTCGTCGATGACATTTACATTATGGCACGGAACTTTGAGATGATGGCGGAAACGTACATCAGACTGAAGGCTGAAGCTAGACGGATTGGACTTGCCATCAACGGATCAAAGACAAAATACATTAAAGGAAGAGGTTTTAGGGAAGACAATGTTAGCCTCCCACCCCGAGTTCAGATTGACGGTGACGAAATCGAGGTGGTTGATGAGTTCGTGTATTTGGGTTCACTGGCGACCGCCGAAAATGATACCAGCAGAGAAATTCAAAGACGCATTATGGCAGGGAATCGTGCCTACTTTGTACTCCGAAGGGCGCTCCGGTCGAATAAAATTCGCCGCCGCGCGAAGTTGACTGTCTACAAGACGCTGATTAGACCGGTGGTCGTTTAAGGCCACGAGACCTGGACTATGCTCGTGAAGGACCACACGCCCTTGGTGTTTTCGAACGGAAGGTGTTGCGTACCATCTACGGTGGAGTGCAGATGGATGACGGAACGTGGAGGAGGCGAATGAACCACGAATTGCACCAGCTGCTGGGAGAACCATCCATCGTCCACATTTCAAAAATTGGGCGACTACGGTGGGCTGGGCACGTCGTAAGAATGCCGCACGACGACCCAGTGAAAATGGTTCTAGAAAGCGACCCAATAGGAACAAGAAGAAATGCGCGCAGCGGGCAAGGTGGATCGACCAAGTAGAAGGTGACCTGCGGACCCTTCGCAGACTACGAGGCTGGCGAACTGTGGCCATGGATCGAGTAGAGTGGAGACGACTTCTTCGGACAGCAGAGGACAACAAGGCCTTAGCCTGATTGGCGGCGGCGGCGGCGGTGGTCTTGAAATCGCTTTTTGGTGATAATTTTAATTATCATAGCAACAGTTGCATAGTCGTGAAATTTTCAATAGTGAAAAATAGAAAAATCTTAAATTAAATTGATGCGTAGAAATATGTTTGATCTATTGGCGATAAAATTATTGAAATTGTTCCAGGGGCAGCTGAGTTATTAAAATTCAAAATCTTTCATAATTTTGTTACATGTTCTATTTTCGGTTTTCACAAAGTGTACCCCCATGAAGAGTTTTTTTTTTTTTCCTTTGGTTTGTTTTTTCCGTCGATCTTGTCTTCCGTGCTGAGCACCAATGCTACCGACGTGCCAGGAAGGCAGCTCCCACACCTGGACCCTACCTATCGACCCATCAACTCATGAACCGGAACCAACGGCTTTACTTCCCATCCGAAGGAAGGCGTGATCAGAGATGTTATGCCTCAGAACATCCCGGTGGCGCCGACTGGTATTGAACCCAGGCCTGCTGGGGTGAGAGGTAATCACGCTTACCACTACACCGCCGGCGCCGTTCCCCATAAAGAAATGACAGACGTGGTCCTACGTCAGAAGTTACAACTGGAATTCGAGCCAAGGACTCTGGGATCATCAGACACGTACCTAAACAGTTATTCCAGTGACGCTTGCTGGAATACTGCAATAAAAACCAAATAAGAAACTTGACTCATCGCATCAACGGATTCAATAAATCCAAAAAGTTTCTCGAAGAGGAACAAAATGTGGTTTCCTCTGGTTTTTGCACATTGCCGTCGTCAGTTTTAAAGAGGAAAATTAAAGCACAGCGGAGAAAAGTGCATGGTATTGAAAACTGAGAGACGTTGGAATTTTACTTTTCTCTTATTCTGCTTTAAGGTGGATCCATCTCTGCTGCAATAATTGTTGTGAATCAGTGCTGCAAAATCTCGACTGGTCACGACGATAATGACAAAACAGCTTTCGTCACTATCACGAAATGAAAATGATCTTCAAAGAATCTTCTGATTCTTTTTCGCATATCAAGGGATTCCATCCAGAATGAGCTGAAAAAACCTGAAATCGTGCTCGACCATCTTCGATTTGGATGATACTTTGCCCATATTTTCTGTATGATAGACCAAGTA